GTGCTCGCCAATATCATATCATATTCTTAATATGTGGCAATCTGTCGCTTATGAGAAATGTGTGTGAAAACGAGCTTGTTTGAACTATTTTATTTTTGAGCCGAATTCAGAACTTTGACATTCTAATACATATTTTTCGGTAATCCTTCCGCTTCTATCATTTTTAAGAATGATCGATTTTCATATTCTGTTTTAATAACAACACTCTGAATGTGCCAGTTTACGATGTTTTATTTTTCCGGAATTCAGATTCTCAAATGAAAGCTACTGGAGTGTTTCATGTCAATCTCAATTAGGAATTTTAATTTACCCTCAAGAAAAACCACCATGGAATACATAAAACATGAGTTACCAGAAGCACCCCATTCGTTCTCTGGAAATCGTCGTTTGGATATGCGCTTTTTGAAAAATTCCCTATTTGACACCGATTTTTTAAAGGTTAGATCTTACTCAACTTAGTTGCCTCGCCTAAAAGGTCGATGATGTTAAAAGTACTATCTCAGTGACTTAATGATATCTGGCATATACTTAGATAATCGTGCATTCGTGATCATTGGGTCATCAAAACTATTCAGTGCGCGTATCACATCTCCTAGTTGCGGGCGACTGTTGCAGCACTCTCGGGCAAATGTTCCTGTTTTTAAACTTAATCTTCACCATTTGAGCGTGGTTGATACCCTCCCCCTATATCTGCATAGCGCAACAAGCATCAAACTCCCAACGCACCACGGAGAAATGTTTTTTTGGAAGTATGAAAAATCCCGTATTGTGCTCTAGTACTGTCATTTTCACTCTGTAGTGTGGTATAAGAAGCTTGCATTTAAAACACGTCCACCCAGTTAAGGTTGCCTCTCAAGGGAGTTTGCATACACTTGGTTCAGTTGAAATAGAGTAACTGGGTTATTAGTAAACCTTTCCACATTTCATTGTCATCTCTGCTTACTGACAGAGACAGGTTTATGAAACGTGAGGTCTTTATGCAGAGGCAAAGTGTAATACACACCATTGAAAATCTTTGTTCGCTGTTTCATCCGGTGTATTCATCAATTCCACTGAATGCATATTATTGCAAAGCTGATATACTAAGTTTCTGAGCTAACCAGAATGCCTATAAGTAGTTTCACCGCATGAGATGGTGCTAATCTGACAATGCCGTCAAACGTACCGGTATTGTGATTTATCTGTTAAGCATCCACTTTTTGTACTGTATCCTGTTTAATGTTGGAGAAATTTCCGTTAGGACGAGAAAAAAATATCTCACATAAGTGTATAAAGAGAGAGTGCGAGCATGGCATAAATTCTTCTTGCTTTAGGTGTAGTTTCGGAATATTCTGCAATCGAGTGATCTAGGAACCTTGAACGTGTGGAGGTGTGTGGACAACACTAGCATTCTGGATATCGTTCCATAAGAAAATTTAAGAAGACAGTGAATAAGACACACGATTATACTGTTTACTGAGAGCTTTGGCAAAAGTTTCCTCTTTGGCCTATTTTTGTTATTTAAGCACGTTTCCTCGTGCTTCAACTCATTCGATTGAACTTCGCAGTTCATTGGCTTACATAATTTGCCATTACTAACCATGATCTAATTTGGTTACTTGACCACCAAATTTAATTGTTATTTGAAATATATACGACTGCTGAGTATAACAAACATCATCGATTGACATCTAATTAACTCGTTTTTTTTATGTATATATGTTTATTTCGGTTTTCCTCCTTTTATCAAACCAGAATCTACTTGATACAACCATTTCCATAGTAGTGGTGGTGGCGCAGTGGTTTAGTCGCTGTCACTAGCGTGCTTTGGTCCCTATGGTCCGGGGCTCGAGCCCCGCCACGGCCACCCGACTTTGGTGGTGGGCAGCTCTGCTGTCATCCGGTTCAATACCACGCCTAACCTATCGGGTCCTTATGTGGTTCACCACTCCAAGTCCCGGGGCTTAGGTTGGCGGTTTCCACCACTGAACAGCAGGTCCTCGTGACTATGGGGTTCGCCCCGTCTGCTGTTCAACACACTTGGGTGTTTGATAAAAACATCGTTATGTAGCAACCGTTTTTACGCTCAAGGGCGATTGTGCATCATGCTTAACATTCCTATGGTAGGAGCTAGCAGACAATTTTACAATATCATTAAGTAACATCCTTTTGAATGAATTAGTCTGGTCCTCTCGATAACCGGTAGTCATTGATTTTCCTAATCGAGGAGACCGGATCTTTCGTTTTCGGACTACGTATTCTGGTTCACAAAGAACGGGTTTTCGCAGATTTTCCTAAAAGTTTAGACACTGTTTTTCTCGTATCAAGACCGAAAGAAGACATGTCGCGAGATGTTAACATTTCGTTTAANATCCGGTTCAATACCACGCCTAACCTATCGGGGCCTTATGTGGTTCGCCACTCCAAGTTCCCTGGATTAGGTTGTCGATTTCAACCACTGAACAACAGGTCCTCGTGACTATGGGGTTTACCCCGTATGCTGTTCATCACACCTAGGTATGTAA